CTTTTTTTGGAGTTTGAGTTTCTTGATTTAGAGTGGTTTCCGGACCGCTTGCCATACTGGCAGAAGAAAAACTGCCCCCTTCCTTCTTGGCACTTAAAACATTCTCATCTTTATTCACTTTTACTACCCCATCATCAAAACTCAATTCATAAGTTTGTTGTTCCTCCAAAATATCCAGTTTTGATTTCTGGCTTTGGTCGTGCATAATGAAATAAATCCGCACGATTTTAACATTTCCATCCTCGGCTTGAAAATCTAAATCTTGAACTCTGACATTAGTGTTTTTTTCATCGCTTCCGTCGTTTCTATTTATACTTTTTACTGTAAATGTAATTTTTTTAGTTGGCATATTATTATAATTTTAACTTATTTTATTGATTTTTTATTTTGTGTGTGATTATTATTTTATCTTTTTTTCTTAATTTTTCTAATCTCTTTTCTCTTTAATTTAATTTTATATACTTTATATCATTTGTAATTTATTCAAAACATTGTAATCTATTTTTCTTATTCTCCTGTCTATTGAAAATATTGACCTCCGATAATACTCGTATTTTCAACACTTTGCGAATATTCCTTTCTTTGAAACTCCGTGTTTTTCTGCTTATTTTTGCTCTTTCGGCAAAATATCTCTATCTGTTTTTCCAAAAAACTTACTAGAAAAATAAACAAAAGATATTTTCAGTTAAACAAAGATAAGAAAAATAGATGGAATATTTTCAATAGACAGGAGAATAAGAAAAATTTAAGGTCATTTTTTTTCTTATTTCCAACTAAACAATGCTAAAAAAAATTGCTCTTATCATCCCCTCCTTTGCTCCAATTTTGGGCAAAAATTTCCCCTTCTGACCAGTTATAAAATAGAAATATATGCCATTGCTAATCACCCTGGAAGGAATCGACGGAAGCGGTAAAACTACCCTCATTAATAACCTCAAAAAAAGTGGTGAATTAGACCTGATAACCCATAATTGACGGGACACTGAATGGGGACAAAAAATTTGACACTTACTTAACGAATC